ATGCACAAGATGGAGAAAAGGAGCCGAGTCTGACGACTGAAATTCTTGCATGCTGAATGTGAAATATTTGCAGATAAAAATGGCAGTAAAACAAACAAATGGAAAATCATTTCTTATGTAAGAACACAGGAGGAAAGTGTCACAGTGCTGACAGTTGTATCAGACATGCAGCTTAAATACTGCTAAGAGAAGGTTCAAAACAGAAGGAGCTGTTTTACAAGGCAGGTAGGAGAACTCTAAATTGTCTTGCCCAAGAACAGAGTTGCTAAATATCTATATGAGTTTGAGTGGGAGAGTAGACAAATCATCCAATTCAGGAAATAACTTGGTTGGAAGGGAAAGCTTGGTATCTCTGGTTTTATGAGCTGCTCAAAGGATAGACAGCTTCAAAGGTAGATGGAGTTACTCAAGGTCTGCTCCAGTGGAGATCTGAATGACTCCAGCCTTGGGAGCACCAGGCCCAGCATTGGCAGCTGGTAGAGCACTGAGATGCATCAAGTGAGGGTCAGGTGGGGGTTATGGAAAGGCTCTGTTCCACAGGGCAGTAGGGATGGCCCTGAGCTGCTGGAGCTCAGGGAGCAACACTGGGACATTGCTCTCAGCCATAGGGTTTGGGTGCTGTTTGTAGATGGGGGTTGGACTCAGTGATCCTTGTGGGTCACTCTCAGCATCTCACTGATGAGGGTACTGGCCCTTGCTGAGCACTGTGCATCCCCTAGGAGAGGCAAGATGTCCTGTCCCTTTATTTTTTGCCCAACTACATCTGGGACATCCCAGCTGCTGGGAGACCAAGGGGAGAAATAAGACAGAGGTCTTCAAAAACATAACTGACCTGGGAACGGTGCATGGAGATGATTGGTTTCAAACTTAAAGAGGGTAGATTTAGGTTGGATATAAGGAAAGTCTTTCACAGTGCGGGTGGCAAGGCACTGGAACAGGTTGCCCAGAGATGTGTTTGATGCCCCATCCCTGGAGACACTCAAGGCAAGGCTGGATCAGGGTCTGGGCAAACTGATCTACCTGTGGTGTCCGTGTTCACTGCAGGGAAGATGCACTGGATGACCTTTAATTGTCCCTTCCAACTCTAAGGATTCCATGGTTCTATAACCACTCACTCACCTTTCTAAAGGCAGGGCTTGAGTGGAGGTGAAGAACATGGGGATTTTGCTGAGCTCTCCACGCAACTCTCCAGCACGTGTTTCTCAGCTGAGCCCACCTACAAAGTGCTGACTTGAGGCAGCTGTGAGGTTTTGTACCCTTTGAGCAGAGACACACTGGCTTTCACTGCCCTGGGCTTTTCGTTACATCTCTAGCTGATCTCCACCAGCTTTGCTCAATGTCATTATCAAAAATTTCCAAACCCCAGCTGGGGTGGCTGTAGGGGTTTGTCAAAATTGTCTTTTCTCTCCAGATCACTTCTGTGTGTGTTTCTGTACATATTTCCTCTGCTGGCGGAGTGGGATAAAAAGCTGACTTGAGACCTACTCATTTTATGCCTGAATTACTTCAATTTTCTCTGCCCGAGGCTCCTCATTCTTTTCCACCGTGTTGCTACTGGTCTGCTGGGAATCTCTCCTTTCCTGTGAAAGTTTCTTTTGTCCTCCAAAATGTGCACTTTTCCCAGTGATCTCCAATTTCTGCCCCTTAGATCTCACGCAGTTCTGTTAGACACTTGTGTATGCACGCTCGATTTCAAAACGGCTCAAATTTATGTCCAGCCATTTTTATCTATTTATCTTTTGGGCGATGATGCACTGATTCCTGTCTGATATAAAACAAAAAATGCAACAAAACAGAGTGCATTTTCAGCATGGTTTAGCAGTGCCTCTGCAAGAATCTCGAGTCGCTTAGCTAAACAGTGGGTGCTCACTTGGGCGTGGAAAAGGCCTTGGTGTCTTTGGATGCGTATGGCTTTACTTAACCTAAGTACAGTCTTACCCTGGAGAGTCAAAAAGCAGAAGGCGAAGGTGATATCGACACAGTTTGGGTAACACTGCTGGAACGTTCATGAGAGACACCTCAGTATTTTGAGCAAAATGCTTTGTTTCAATGAAGCTGTCTCCAGCGTTTGGGATTCTCAAAAGGCAGTCTTAGCACTAAAGACTGAGGCAAAGGAGTTATTCAGTTGCTCCACCGCATTTAGCAGCAGACCTGCATTTTCCCTGGTCTTCCTTCTGTTACTGACACACTTAAAGACACCTTTCTTGTTATCCTCCATCTCCCTGATCAGGTTTAATTCCAAGTGGGCCTTAGCCTTCCCTGTTACATATCTGATGGCCTCACAACCTTCCTATATTCCTTCCAAGGGCCCAGACCCCTTTTCCAAATTATGAATACTTTCTTTTTCCACTTGAGTTTTTCCACGAGCTCTTTGCTCATCCGTGTGGGTCTTCTGCCACCTTTGCCTGACTGCTTACTCTTCAGATTGCATCAATCTTGACCTTGCAAGTGGTGCTTGAGTGTCAATCAAATCTCTTGTGCCCCCTACCTTCCAGTGCTTTAACCCATGGACATTCCATTCCAGGACAAACATTGATTTTCACAGAATCACAGAATTGTAGGGGTTGGAAGGGACCTCCAGAGATCATCGTGTCCAACCCCTTTAAGACAAACCATTCTGCATGATCCTTAACTTACGAGAAGTGTTGTATTGGATCATCCAGAATCATATTCTTTCCTCCTTTTCCTACTGAGGAACAATCAGTTTGAAAAAAAAAAACCCACCACTTTCCATATGCTTTCACTGAAAAGGATCAAACTCTTAGTCTTCATAGCTCCTCTCCACTCTGTTTTTAAGCAGTGCTAGGCATACCATCAGAACAGGGATGTTCAGAGGAATTAAGCAAGATTACAAACTCTGAAGGCAGTTTAGGAACTCATAACACAGAAAACTAGTATAAACTTGTCATTACCACCTTATGCATATATATATATGTACCAGAGCAGAACAAACCAGATTTTTGCTATGTGCTGACTATGAAGTGTTCCATCCTGGGGGCTTTTGCATCCTGGCAAGACATTCTGAATTAGCATCTGGTTAGTTTTAATCCTGACAGTGCAGTCAAAAGGGCATCATTAGCTCCATGGCAGGGAAGAAGATGGAGAGCTTAGGGAGGAAATCAAACCCTGAAGCAAAAACACATCCCTGTGGCCAGTCAGATCCAGTGACCAGCTGCTACTAAAATGCTGTGACAGAGCTGATGGTGGCCCAAAGTGTTTTCTGGGTGGAGAAGACTTGTTTTTGATAAGTCAGTCCAGAGATGGGCAGTCAAAGGATGACCTAGAGACATGTGGGTGTGGGAGTGCATATTGCACTGGCTTGGAAGCAGAGGCATCATGAAAATTGCAACCAAGATGGGGAAGGGTGATGGGTAACAAAGTGCACCAAAGTGACAAGACAATGACATTCTAAAGTAGGGAGGTTGTAGCACCTGTTGATGTTCTGGAAATGTGGAAGAGAGTGAGGGTATGCTCATGTCATACGGTGTCTCGTTGCATCCCTGGGATCCACGTTTTGCAAGGTGAAAAATCATAGGAGAATCTCAGGGATACCCCTCAATTTTCCCTGGGCGATGGCAATCTTCTTCGGAAGAACACTGGAGAACAAATCTCAACTTCTGGCATTGCTTTGTGTTCTGGGCAGGAACATATGACTGTAGTGATAAACAGCATCTTTGGAACATATGGAACCTTAGACTCATACCGTATGAGTCCCTGTTCTTTGTCTTGCATCAGTACTTACCATGGAGGCTCCTATAGTGGAGGGTGGACTGTAAAACTCCTTCTCAAGCCCTTATCTGAACAGTAGAACTTTCCTTCTGATCAACATCTGACCCCATGGAGTGTTGTCTGTGTCCTCTTTCTGTTGACGCAAGTTTGATGCAACAGGGTTGGTCAAGAGCAAAGATGAGTGCAGAAAAACAAACCCCACCAGTACATAAACACAAAAAGACACTTTAAAGCCCAAATACCCAAAGAAATTACACCAAAATAAAGAAACCAGTCTTGTATATGTATTTTTTAAAAAAGATACATCAATTTTAGTGTATTTTTTCAAGCTTGCTGGACATCGTACTGAAGCACTGTAAAGCTGTCAGAGAAATTATATACTTTTTTTTCTGTTGTCAACCAAAGCGTGCTTTCATGGAGTCAATTAGCCACAGATTATGAACACACATCACTTGTCTGAGAATGAATTACAGTACACCCCAATAAACATACCCATCTTTGCTCACTGGTTATCCCCATGATGGGGATGGCATCAGATTTTCCTATCCAACCATAAAGGAAACTGCACGTTCGTGTTTCATCCTGCAAGTGTGCCTCTTTCAAATGCTGCAGTGCTACAGTGTGAGGGGAGAGAGGGTCATTGGTGTTACTGCTCTGGCGTGCAAACCTGGACATGAGCTCAGTGTGAAGACTGCATTTACACCGGTGGAAAAAGTTCGTATAAGCTGGGCTGGCATGAGTGCTTGGATCTACAATGGAGCCTATAACTGCTGTTGTATCTGATAGAGAACTGCAGTCAGCATCATCTTTACATGGCATATTATGTGCTTTCCACCGACCTTAGAGCCCTTTTTGAAGGTGGAGAGCCACAGTCCTATTGAGATTTTTTTGTTCGGTTGGGGGGTTGCTTTTTCTTTCCTCTCTTTTTTATTTTTTTTAATTTTTTTTTTTTTTAACAGGTGGGGAAACTGAGGCACAGAAAGGTGGTGTGATTTGCCCACAGCTGGTGGTAGACCTTGAAACCCCCAGTCTCTCTCTCAGCTGCTCAACTCCCACCTGGGACATGGTGGAATGGCTGTTTGCTTGGTTCTCTTGGGGGAGAACTGCATCTCCTCCAGGAGAGAGGGGAAAAGTGTCACTCTCAGTGGCAATGTCTGGCAGTGGGCAACAGCACCCACGGTTTCTGCCACCCCAAGAGGCAGGAGAAGCAAGGAACCCGAAATGGAGGGGCAGGAGTTTGCTGGTCAGGCACTGAATTGGAGGACACAGCTCTACAGGATGCATTCGTGTCTCTCTGTGGCTTTCAGGGCCTCGTGCATGCTGGCGGCAGAAAGTCTCCTGTTGATATTCCTGTACCTGCACCTCAGAAGGTTCCAGAAGGTAGTCCTCAAGTCTCGGTTAAAGAAAGCATAAATTAAGGGATTGATGAGGGAGTTGGTGTATCCCAACCAGAGCAGAGTCCTCTCCAGCCTCAGGGGCAGGCAGCTGCAGTGTATACCACAGATAAAAGGCCGAGCCGTTGACATAAGGAAGAAAGGCAGCCAACAAAATGTAAAAGCCCCCACGATTATACCAAGGGTCCTGGCTGCTTTTTGTTCCCGTTTGAAGATGGAAATATTCTTCCGGTCTTGCCGGAGCAGTTTGGAGAGAGTGGCACATTCCTCCACCGCCTTGGTGCGCTTGGAGCTGGGATGGCCGCGGCTGGAGGCCTCCAGGCAGTAGACACCCTCCTCTTCATAGTGCTTGGAGAAGTTCATAAAGCGGTGCTTCTCAGCGCTCACCTTGGCAGCTTTGTAGATCCGGCTGTACATGACGAGCATGACCGCCATAGGGATGTAGAAGGCGACCCCTGTGGAATAGACCGTGTACCCAAAGTCCTGGCTGATCAGGCAGACTCTTTCCACGGTGACGTTCTTAGCCCAGCCAAAAAGAGGAGGAAGCGTGATGGAGGCGGACAGGAGCCAAACGATGAAGACCATCTTGGCCATCAGCTTCCCGTTTTGTCTCACGGGATACGTCAGCGGACGAGTGATCCCCAGGTACCTGGAAGAGGAAGAGTTGCAAAGCTCAGGAGGGTTTTGAGGCATAAATACTTCTTAAAGAATCATAGAGTCCTTAGGGATGGAAGAGACCTCTAAGATCATCTGGTCCAACTGCTCCTCTGCCACCAGTATTACTCACTAAGCTGTGTCCCTGTGTATCACATTTATACATTTTGCTTAGTGTTGGGTGATTTTCACTCCTAACTAGTGGTGAGGCCCTGGAACAGGTTGCCCAAGGAGGCTGTAGATGCCCCATCCATGGAGGCATTCAAGGCCAGGCTGGATGTGGCTCTGGGCAGCCTGGTCTGCTGGTTGGTGACCCTGCACATAGCAGGGGGTTGAAACCAGGTGATCATTGTGGTCCTTTTCAACCCAGGCCATTCTGTGATTCTATGAACTTCAGCCCGGAAAGGGAGTAAGAAATGAATTTCCCAAGTGAAAACATTCCCAGGGATCTGCAGCATCTTCTGTGAAACTTATTTCATACTCCTTCAGCTCTCTTGCCTAAAAGCCCTGTTTCAACTATTCCCTGCTGCATTCTTGCAGCCTCTCCATGCATGATACAAGAAGTCATTGAATTTATGAGCACAATCTGGGACCCGCATGGTTTCCTTGGGAATAAAATTAAAGCTTAGTTTTCCACCAGAGATAGTTTGCACAGAGAACACGCAACAAATTCCAGCAGTAAGATGTATGCTCACAGAATGGTTTGAGTAGGAATGGACCTTTAAAGGCTATCTGGTCTCACTTTCCTGCAGTGAACAGGGACACCCAAGGCTCCATCAGGTGCTCAAACCCTCATCCAACATGACCGTGGGTATCTCCAAGGAGATGGGCTGTCCAACGAATGGAGGATCTTATAGGAGGCACCACAAGCATGCGGTGACCTGTGGGCACACGTGTTTTAGTGGCTGGAGTTCTGAGTTACCTTATTAGTGTACGTCAACCATCAGCTCCCCTATCAACAGCAACGCACGACTTTGAAACACCCCCAGTGTCGAAGGGGTTTGTATGACTCAGAAATTTTGTCAACTGTTAGTTGGGAAATCGCAGTTGTACAAATGAGTAGGGAATTAGCCACTGTCAGCAAGGGTTCCCACTGGAAAACTTCTGCTTCCTATTCACCCCCAGTGAGTGCAGCAAAACCCTCCAGCTGTTGTATGGATTTCTTCCACGTTACAGCCAGTTTCGTACGAGCCCTGCCTGCTGTCAGGAATTTGCAGGCATTTTTAGGCAGGATGGAGTCACCTCCTAATTGTCTTGGATAAACTGGGTCAGGCTGGAAAGAAAGTGAGAATGGCAGCTGTATGGGCAGTTTTTTGCTGAAAGCTTTCCCAGTGAAAAAAGGCCTTTTTTTTTTTCCAAAAGGAGAATTTCTGTGGAGAATGATACCCTTGATGTTTCAGTTATTTCTCTCCAACATTCCAGCCACCTCACTGTAGGTGTTAGCAGGTTTTTCTTCCCTGATTCTTTTCCCTTCTCCAAATCCTCCACCAAGAGTGGAAAAAGACAGAAATAAAAAATAATCCAATCTTCCCTTCCTTCACCAGCGCCAAATAAATTCTAAGCTGGAGTATTCTCCCCTGAATTCCAAATGAAATGAGTTCTACCTCACTGAATTACTCTTTACCTATTTTCCTCTGTATTTTCCTCAGCTGGCCTTAGTTGCAAAAAGCAAGGCAAACCTTACACAACCACCTACACTGCTGAGTGCCTCACACTCACACAGGCTGAAGGGCGGTGTTTGTAGGCACAAACTCAGTGCAGCCTCAAAGGAAAGCACTTCTAACTCCATCACCCCATGAGAACATGTCTGATCACTGCAGGGGAGTTGGACTCCACGACCTTTGAGGGTCCCTTCCAACTCAAACAATTCTATGATTCTATGCATTGAGATGAATGAGATCTGATGAGACAAAGATGGACAATGGGACTGGTTTTGGTGCTGAGCTTCCAAACAAATTATCTTCTCCATCTTCCTGCCTGATCCGAGCTTGGTGAGAAGTGATGAGCTTAGGTGGGAGATGAGGCTCCAAGGGTGCAGAGTTAGGACAACAGGCTGAGAGGGAATGGCCTCAAGCTGCATCAAAGGGGGTTCAATGTTGGATATTAGGAAGCATTCCTCCAAAGGAGTGGTGATGCACTGGCACAGGCTGCTCAGAGAGGTGGTGGGGTCACCATCCCTGGGGGTGTTCAAGAACCATGGGGATGTAGCACTGAGGGCAGTGGCTGTGAGCATGGTGGGGTTGGACTTGGTGATCCCAGAGGACTTTTCCAGCCTTAATGATTCTACGATGCTAACGAATGTCCCTCCTGCTGTAGGAACCAGCTGCAGACTGGATATCTTTGGAGCTAGGGGAACACCGTGCCCTGCTGCTACATCCCCAAACACAGCACGGAAAAAATAATCACTCCTTCACATATCCAGGCCAAGAACTTTGCACGCTAATATGTGCTGCACTGTGTGATATCCTTTGTTACGCTATTACCCAGTCTTCTTCAGAAGCTGATCCCACTCGGGATTTGCTGAAACTTCAAGGAATTTACAGGCTAGCCAAGCAAATTCACAGTGACAAGATTAGAAAGGCAGGCAAAGCCAACACATCTCTACTGTGGGTGCCTCGTGCCATCTCTGCTGGAGGAAATGGAGCCGTTCTGAAATCTTTGCTGATGGCTGTGATGAGAGCGGGGAGAACTCAAAATAGGGCAGCATCTGCCACAGAGCAGAGACAGGCACTGAAATTCAGATCAAATTCCCTCGCTTTGATTCATTTTCGTGTGTGTGTCTGTGTTGCTGTTAATCGTGTTTAGTGGTAACGAGGAATAAAGGGCAGTTCCCACAACAGGGATTTCCTCGTGCTTTGTGTGACTTTGCTGTTCCATCAGTTGCTCCAGCCTCCTGGACTGGCCACTTCAGCACATTCATTCCATGCCCAACGGCAGCTACTGGCTCCTTACATCAGGGATTAAATAATAAAGGGAAGGAAAACCTCCTCCAGGTGGAGAACAGCGGGCAGGTGGAGGTTGTGGCTTCATATATCCATCCCCAAAGCATCCCTGGGAGCTGCTCATCCTGCTGTAAATACACCACAAGGGTCTGCCTGGCCAGGGATACGTTCGGATGAAGCAACAGGAAAAGCAATCCAGCAAAATGCTGTGCAAGTTTCACCTCACCAACACTTTCATAGAATCATGAAGGTTGGGAAAGACCTTCGAGATCATTAAGTCCAACCACGAACCATCATCTATGCTCGCTAAATTTTCAGGAGGCATCCCTTCCACTGGGGACAATACCAACTTGGAGCTCATCATGGGGTAGAAAACACCAGGAAGAAGGGAGAGCCCCACAAGGATTGCCTAGGAAATGGATGGAGATTTCATCCTCCATTCCTCCACCAAGAAAATATAAAGCATTTTGAGGGCCTTCGTTTATCCACAGCTTGGATTCTTTACAGAGAGCTTCATTTAACCTGAGTATCCAAAAGGTTTTGGTTTGTTTTTTGTTTTTCGTAATAACGAATCTATAGCTTTGGCAGGCATTTATGTAAGAAAAACGTAGGGGAAAGATGGATGTTTCCAGCATTTTTCATTCTTGATTTAAAGGAAAATCAATCAAACGCCACTTCAGACAAGATTTATTCCACCAGCTTCAATCAGGAGGCTTTTAGAAAGCGCTCTGCATTAATAATCAATAATAGCAGCCTACATTTTAAAAGTAGCCATCATCTTGGACAAACTGAGCATCTTTTATATCTAAGCTAAGCAAAGAGTGAGGACACTTCAGCCATCAATAAAAAGGCAGAACCAGGCAGCTGCCCAGTGGTGCCGACCAATTCAGCATTCAGGAGGGCACCAGAGGAAGAATTCATGTACCCTAGGAGGTGCCAAGGGAAGGATGCACAGGTGCTGTCCTTTCTTCTTGCAGGGCAGGAGGAGCAGCTTTGGGGAAAATTCCAGCAAACCCTTCACTGAACAGCGCTTTCATCTCTTTTAGAGCAAGTATTGCAGGCTCTCTGCAAGCTCAGCAATCCTTTTGCTTCAGCTTTACATTAGCACAGAAGATGAAACGCGTGCTTTTGGAGATGTTTCTATCAGGGGTTAAGCCTCAAATCCCACCCATCCCAAGATCCTGGATCCACGCTCTCCCTCCATTCACCTCCATCAGGAGCCTGATGGGAATAGAGCAGATGAAGGCTTGATGAGGAGCAATGGTGACTTAAAGGGTGGTTCATGCAGCCCACAGCTCTTTCCTAGGGATACTTGAGGGAGAAAGCAGTGGGAAGTGCCTCATTCTCTCCTCAGGGAATCAGAGAACATCCAAAATATTCCCCTTCCTTGGGCATGGGATGGACTGAACCCAAGGTGAGCTTGGTCAAGAGGTTCACCCACCTATCCCTCTGTGTCAGTGGTCAGGCACTGGCACAGACGTTCCAGGGAGTGAGGAGCTTGGAAGCTGAATGAGATGGGTACAGGTGGACTGGCCCCATTCCTAGTCTCCTCTAGCCCAAATCCACATGCCCAGTCCCATCTTCATGGTGAAGGGCAGATCAGTGTCATCCAGGACATTTGCTTGCACTGTGCCTGCCCGCATTGACAGTGGTATCGGGCTGGAGAGAAGTGGCTAATATGTGGGGGGATGAGATGCAGTGATTTTCATATAGGGTCTGTTCTGTTTACTTGTGCGTTTGAGAGAGCGTTTGTGTGTAGGAGGAAAAGGGATAAAAAGGGAAGGGGGAAAAAAGGAAGGGGGAAAAAAGGAAGGGGAAGGAGAAAAGAAAGGGAAAAGGGAAATTTGGAAACTGAAGCCAATCTAGTTAATGTTCAGCTGCTGCTTCACTCCTCGTGCATCGAGAAGAGAATTTCACCTATTACTGCATTTGATCTCACTGACGCAGACACGCTTTCCTCCTGACTCTTCATACACCTGCTTTTCAGGAACAGCCTGTTTGTGAAAGCCACCAGTTCAGCCGCAGAGCTGTGAGGTTGGTGGGGATTTTGCTTTCTGAGCAGCAGCACCCCGTGCACAGCAGCGACTGGCAAAGGGCTCGGGTGCATGATGCTGCAGCAGCCAGCTTATGACTGACCCTCTTGCTTTGTCACCCACTGCCACACCTGGGTGAGCCACCAGGGAGCTGTGACAGTCACTGTGGCCAGGGAGCGCGTCTTGCCAACCCTGTCCCTTCTCAAGCTGCTTATCACAACCCAGCCTGGCTCAGCAGTGCCAGCACAAAACCAAATCACCCTTTCCAGAAAGCCAGCATGCGTTTCAGATCTGGATCCGTCCCACTGGCTCGTCAGCACAATGTCCCTAATGACGCAGGCTGCTATAATTAGACCCAGGGGGGTGCTGGCTTGCCTGAGTTGCGTTGCTTTGCCAGACATGCTCAGCCTTTCCCTTTGCACTCCAGGTGTGGGAGCTCAAACCAGCAAGACCACACTGAAACATGCGCTAGGCTACATCAGGGTTTTATGGAACTTGGGATGGGGTGGGGAGATGCCAGCAATCTTGGCCAAAGCACAGGTCCTGAGAGCAGCAGAGCATCCCATAGGGTTGGGCTACAGGAGCTCCATAACCTGAATGGCTCTGAATCTGTACACTTCTTTGGTTGAATAATTTCATCGAGCTGGACTCCATGATCTTTGTAGGTCCTCACCTGTGCCCTCCAACTCAGGATATTCTATGATTCTAACCTTATGAACCAACCCCCTTCCATGGTGATACAGATAGACAAAGGTCTAGCGTCAGGGCTCTGTTCTGCAAACCAAGAAAGACCAGCATGCTGTCCAAAGGGTGAGGATGAAGCAAGTACTTTAAGAAGTTACTTGAGCTGCAAAGGGCACCTAATTCATACAGAAAACCCTCACTCATCCTGTGCACTTGGAAAACACATGCAGCAGCACTGCAGAGAGAAGTTGTGGAAAACCCACCTCTGGAGGCATTCAAGGCCAATTTGGATGGGATCCTGAGATGTAGTGGTTGGCAGCCCTATCCACTGCAGGAGGGTTGGAGCTCAACAATCTTTAAGGTCCCCTCCAACCTAAGCCATTCCATGATTCTACGATCTTGATTCTGGTGGCCCTCAACCAACAGAAAATCCCCGTACCCAAGCACGCCGCTGCCCCATTTCCCTTACCTGTCCACGCTGATGATGCACAGGGTCATGATGGAGGCAGTGCAGCACATGACATCCATGGCGATGAACACGTTGCAAAACACCTTCCCAAAGAGCCACTCTCCCCCCACCAGGTCCGTGATGGTCACAAAGGGCATGACAGCGAAGGCCACCGAAAGGTCAGCGGCAGCGAGGGACACCACCAGGTAGTTGGATGGCTGCCGGAGCTTCTTGACAATGCAGACAGAGATGATGACCAGACCGTTGCCTGCGATGGTCATGAGGATGATAATGGAGAGCACAGCTCCAATGACAATCTTCTCAGTGTCCCCATAGAGCAGGATCTCCTCGCCGCAGTCCGTCGCGTTGGTGTGGTTGGAGGAAGGCAGGTCTGGCTCGGCAGGGACAGAGGGTTCCTCAGTCATGAATGGATTCGGGAGCGACTCCCGAGCTGGGTACTGCTGCTCTGCGTTCTCCACAAAGAGAAGATGGTGCTCCAGAAACCGCCGGGGGCTGCCCCTCAGCAACATGCTCTGAGCTCTCCGCAGCGGGCAATGGCACAGGCTTTCTCCCAGCAGTGACACCTCCAGTGGCAAAGCAGAACATTTTTATCACATGCAGGCTAAGAAAATAAAATATCACCTTCCAGCCCTACCTCTTGCCTCTCGGAGCTGCAGATGGAGCTCATGTGCTCAACGAGGAGCTGTTTCCCAAGTCTGCCTAAAGACGCACAGTTTGCTGGATCTGGAGGATGCTCGGAGGAAGCTTGCTCCACTTCTGAAGGAGCACAAGCTACCCAGTCTTCCCACAGCGGCTGCCTAATTGCCTACATGCTTTTCCAGCAGCACAGATAGCAGCAGCTGATTGCAATTGCTCATGGCATTAAGCACTGCTGCCAAGCCGTGATGCTGGGCTCGCACTTCCCATGCACATCCGTGTGCCCTGCACATACCATAAGTGAATGCAAGAGAGTGGGTGACAATCTCAGCCCCAGAAGGATGCCCATGCACCACCAGCTGCATCTCCTGCGTGTGTCAGTGCACAAACTTCACCCTACAAATCTATGCAGTGTCAACACGGTGACTGCACACACTGAGCTGCATCGGGAACACACGCAGCATCGCTGCCATCAGTACAGGCAAAAGGAGGGCTGGGGTATCCCTGAGCTGTGGGGTCCTCGATGTGCACACAAGCAAGCAGCAGTGCTCCCACCCATAACATTCATCCCTGCAAATATTTCCTCACCACCGATGGGGAAACTTTGGGGCGAGGCTCACCCTAAGCAGAGCTCTGAGCATCGCGCACGCCCTGCATCCTCCTTCTTTCTGCTTTCCCCTTGAAAGGAGTTCTATTTAAACCCAAGGAATCCCGCAGACCCCTCTCTCCCCCTTTTTGCATTCTACCCCCAGGGGGTGACGAGGATCCCGTCTTACCTGTGCCGAAGGGGTGAGACATCCTCCAGTCGAACCCCGCGATCTCCGGGCAGGAGAGGAGCCGAGAGCCCCCGGAGCATCATCCTCTCTCCCCTCCCCGGTCCCTCCCACCGCCTCCCTCCCGCCTCTCCCAACAGCTCTGCCTGAGCCCCAGGAAGAGCAAGGAGAGCACAGAGTTATAAGGGGGACAAAAGCAACGGCTGACACTGAATCAAGCCCTACCAGTGGAAAAGCTGGGGGGCACAGCTGGAAGTCGAGCAGCCATCCCTGAGCGCGGTGCTTCGGGTGCAACACAGCTCTGGGGCTGTGCAGGACCATCAGCATCCTTCCCCACTTCTTTTTGCTGAAAGGAATTTTGCAGGGAGGGGTTTCTCTCCCTCTTCCATGCCGTTCTTTTTTTCTTCCTTCTCCCCTTCCCCACTCCCTGCCAGTAGGAGGTCTCATATTCATACAGCTTTATGCTAAAGAGATGAGAACAGCTCAGGCTAAGCCTTCTGCTAAGGAAATGGAAACAGAGGAAAACCCAACCTAGCAGGAGCATGCAGCCACTTCCATGGGTTGTGCCTGGGAGCACTGGGCACTTCGTGGAGAACACACTTGGGGAATACAATGGGCACCTCTTAGCATCTTCTCTTTGCCCAGCCCAGCCCTATGCAAGCTCTCCCAGTGTGCAGCACCTGTGCACTGATCACGGGGAAAAGCAGCTTTAACCCAAGGTGCTGCACATTGTGATACCTCAGGTCATTGCCAGACGTTCCCTTCAAAGTGCATCTGAGAATGAAGCTGCATTGAGCTGAGCTGGGGCTCAGGCTGAGCTTACCACTTGTGTTTCTCCTTCGCTGTGTGTGTGGGAGGATGGCTAAAATAGCTGCCTTGCCAGGGCAGGCTGTGCTGAAGCGATGGCTCTTTTGCTTATTGCAGTAGAGGTTGCTGCAGCCAGGCATTAGGATGGGATGGGGTTGATCCCAAAATTTCTTCTCTGAAAGAGCCCTTCCCAAAGAAAAATCCAAGGGTTTCAAAGAAGCAAGTCCAGGCCTTGGTAGGGGGCTTGAAACTAGATGATCTTTGATGTCCCTTCCAACCCAAGCCAGTCTATGATTTGGCTTCTCTGTGCTTGGAAGGGTCTGTAGTAGAATATCACCCTCACACCCCTTGGAAATGGCTGGCACCAAGCCCTTGAAGGTGAATGAATTGCAACAAAATCCACTTTCTGACCTTCTGGGAGGGAAACCTGCAGCAGGGAACGTCTCTGTACAGCACCACAAAGCACGCTGCCTTTCCCCTTCCAGCAAACAAGAGATGAACCGGGCGCCCCAATCTCTGCCCATCTGTGTTCTTCCATCTTCACCAGTGGCCACTGAAGCGGCTATTTTAATAACTATTAATTGTCGACATTAATCTCTATTATCGCTAATAATGAGGTAAAAGTTATTAATATGCAAATTCTGAGAAATCTCATTAACTCCAAGGTCTTCGAGCTCCCAAAGTTTGTGGGATTAGCATCCCAAATTAGGCTTTCCCGCATTGCAGGTGTTGATATTTCTCCCTCTGAGGAGGCAGAACCAATCCAGAGCAATAAAATTATTCACTTGGCCCTATCAGTTTTCAAGGAGCATCAGTAGGGACTGCTTTTGCTCCTAGGGAGTATCAAAACCTTCTTTGATTTGGAAACAGGGGAGCAGACAATAATCCGACCCCATGGTTCTTCACTGGTGGCTGAGGTCAGGAATGAGGTTGCCCAGAGTGTTTTAAGGATCTGTAAAGCTTCCAATGTCACCTCCTCCCCAGGGGTTCCTCCAAAAGACATCCCTGTCTCCTGATGGGTCTATAAGCTCAATTCCCAGAGGTTCCAGCAAACACCATCTGGGTATTGTGGGTACCCAAGAAGTGGTTTAGGCCTCCAAGACACGGCAAAGCAAAATTAACCAGACACTTGAGTTGTCCAAGATGGCAGTGGAATACATCCTTCAAAAACCAACCTACAATGCTAAAAAGGGAAAAGAGTATTCAAAGAGTCCCTAAATGAGATATGTGGATGTAGAAAGGGATCAGTTTTGGTTGGACTGGGACAAGATTTCTTGACCCTCTTCCTCAGCATGAAGTCCTCAGCCCAGCCTAACATTCTCTACTCTCCCATTTCTTTGGCTTCCCCCCAGCAGCAATACAAGGCATTACCTTTCTACAGAATTAAGGTTGGAAAAGACCACTGAGATCATCAGAGCCAACCTTCAACCCATCACCACCACGCTCACAAACCCTCAGAAACTCATCCTCAGGGGAGGAGATGAAGGCACAGTGATGGGACACTGCTCAAAGTGCCCCGTGGGGACTCAGGGTCTGGTCCCATACTGTTGACAATGGTAGCCAAAGGATTTCAACAAGAGAATCCAGCTAGCAAAGAGCTTCCTGCATAAAATTCTCTTTCCATGTAAGGAAAAGCCAAAGGAGATTTAGGAAGTTCACAACCAATCTGTGATTTGAAGTTCTCAGAGCTAGGCTGTTGTGTTTTTTTTTTTTCCCCTCTCTTACTGGACATTTCCCCAAAATAGTCAGAAAAAAATAAGAACTTTTGTTACAAAGTGATGCCATGAATTGTGCTGCCAGAAGAGACGGGGAGCAACAGGGAGCCTTGTAGAAAAACACTGTCCCAAAGAGATGTGCAAACAGCTCATCTCAACCCAGAGAGGTGGAAGATGCTCCATCCCTGCAGACACCCAAGGTCAGGTTGGATGGGGCTGTGAGCACCTGATGGAGCTGTGGGTATCCCTGCTCACTGCAGGGACTGGGACCAGATGGCCTTTAAGGGTCCCTTCCAACTCAAACACTGTGATTCTATGAGATGGGTGTTATAGCATCAGGCATGGCCACACTCCCTCTGCTGGAGTCTGCACAGGCAGCAGACAGCACTCAGCTTTCAGCATTCACGTTGCCAGAGATGTGCATGTTTTGAATAACCAGGAGAAATTACCATTGGGAGTTACCCCTGCACCCCAGTGCAGCCAACCCATGTGCTGGTGACATCACAGGGTCTTCCTGATGGCCTGGAGAGATGCAAGTGATGAGGATGAGGCAAAAGGATGCAGGATGGGGAGGAGAGGAGCCCCCAGCAGCGCCTGGTGGTCTGCAGATCCAGGAGAGGAGAGAACTGCAAAACTTAGAGAGGAAAGGGTGAAAAAATGAGAGATTTAGTTGAAGTTTCTGATGCAAACCTCCAGCCACACAGTACACAGGCATAATCACTCAATTGCCAGCTTTTATTAGCAAGCTGCTATCATTACTGCCCAATCTTTACTCCGAGTGGTGGCCACATGTTGGACGTGCAGCACTTTCACCTACTGCTCTCCCATCCACCACCTCTGGGGTAGAGCCTGCCTTTAGATATCTGCAGTGACACGTGGACTACTTTATTTTGGAGGGGGGGGGGGCATATAAAGAACATACCATCCCACCTCCATCCCATCCAAACGAGAGATGGAACAAAGCAGGTGATACAGAACATGGGTGGACTTGGTGATCTCGGGGGTCTTTTCCAACCTTAATATTCTATGACTGTCCTGGTCGACCCTCTTCTAGATCTCAGCTGGATACAGACCTCTGGAGAACAGCAGGGAGGTTCCCCTAGGATGCCCCCACCAGATGGGACCAAAGCAATGGGGACCAACGTGGTGGTGGGCTGAGGACCTTTGGAGGTGGCAGATGCGTTGGGGTCAGGGAGCAAACAGCATTGGTTTGGAAATAAAACCCTCCTTGTCTTCTTTGGTCTGTCCCCTAGATGGCACCTGCTCTCAGCAGATTAAATCCCTGATGGAAAGCAGTAGGAAGAGATACATTAAAAACAAAACAACCCTAGAAACCTAAACAACAACAAACCGAGAAAAGCAAAGAAAGAAAACCCCAAACATCAAATGTATATATTTTGATCAATATATATATATATACTAAACAAAACCTAGAATTTATAGCTGTTTCATCATTTCTGCTGCTTTTTCCTCTCTGGGTGTTCAGTTCCCTCCTCAAAACACCACTGGGAGAAGGTTGCTGGCCTCACCCCAGATGCTTTCTGCAGCAGTGAGGGGTCATCTGGGGGCAAGAAAGGC